GTCCGTATCCTGAGGCGGCGCACTTGACTGACTTAGGATTTGACACTTGACAGCCGCACTTCAACGGCCACCTGCCACCACCACCTCCAGTCACAGAGACGGCTCCGACAAAGAGAGCAGTGGCGGTTGTCTGCCCTAACAGAGGTGATGACACCCAAACTGGCAGAAGTGCAGAGGTAATGATTCCCGACCTGACAGGAGCTTGGGAGTGAGTGTGCGAAGTGGTTATAAAAGGCTCCCTTCCCCCCCAAGAAGGAGGTATGTGATAACTTTGCGCCATTTGGTTTTTTATCTTGCCTTTGAGGAAATACTAACTTGAGCTTCGGAGCACTCTCACTGGGTTCTTCCCCGCAGATTACTCGCTTTCTCCTCCGTTTCAGGCACCTTTTGCTCCAGCCAGAGGCAAGATCGTTGATAGCTAGGACCGGCCGGATTGCGCTCCATCAGATAGGTTGCTAGTGGAAGGAGACATGTTCATCAGGTGTTTGCAATCCTCAAAATGATGTAGGAGATTAGATTAGTTCATGTATTGTGAGAGAGAAAGGCTCACTTTAAAATAACAGTCCAGGCACATGGCAAGGCATGGAATAATTAGAAATCAATTGTATTGGGGGTCACTACCTTTTGTAAAATTATACAATGGGGTTGGGTAGTTTGGGCTAGCCTAAATCTGGAGGGGTGTCAGGCACATTCGTCTTGTACATTATTTCCATATTTTTTACATAATAAAATAAAGGAGCTTGTATTTGAGGTTAGATTTCAGACTTCCTAGAAGATTTTTTTGATCAATAATTTTCTAGAAGATTCAATGGCTAGAAGAAGGTAAATATAGACTCTTTATATGATTGAGATGGCAATCTATTGTAAGATTGTCATCAATTCTACATGTCATCCACATACTAGGTGATTGTCTGAAAACTTTCCTTTATCGGTCTCTGTTAAAATTTACCATCCTTATGTCTTCAAATTCATTAAACACAAGAGCCATATCTGTGATGAATGAAAGTATTTTGTTGCAATATCTTTGGAGTAGGTTTACAGACCCCATCAAATACCCTTTTGTCTTGCTTCTTGCATAATCCCAACTTCATAGCCAAGGGAACCATTCTTTGAAGTTTGGCCCTGAAAACCAAATAGCACCGGTGGCCAAGCTAGTGCTTCATACAGCTTTAGAGGGATGCACATACTTCACCTAGAAGATGCGTTTGGAAAAACTCCAAATATCCCTGGCAATGTGGCAATGAAAAAGCAGATATTCATGGCTTCTTTCTTCAAAGAAAAAACATACTGATTTGTTATTCAGAAACCTCTATCTTTTAATTTAGGCACTTTCTATGATACTGGATGGGGGGGGGGGTGCAAGTTGGGCGTGTTAGGCCGGGTTTATGATCAACCGGGCCCGGCCCTAAAATTTGGACTTAAGGCCTGAGCCCGAAGTCAAGCCCAATTTTCCCAACCCGAGCCCAGCCTGCATTGTAATTTGATGAACTCGGGTTGGGCTCTGGCCTGGGCCGGGCTTGGGTTGGTCAATGAATCCACTCTAAAATTATACATATATATGTAAATAGGTAAATATGTATACAAATGTATATATATACACAAATATGTATGTATATATATGTAAATATGTATGCAAAAATAACATATACATGTGTATAGTTGGGCTGGGTTCGGGCTACCTAAGGGCTAGGCCGGGCCTGATTCCAGCCTAAGGACCGATTTCTTGGGCCCGAGCCCAGCTCGAGGTCCGAAATTCCAAGCCCAACCCATATAAAATTTTTGGGCTGGGCTGGTTTGGGCTCGTGTTGGGCCCGCCCAAGTCGCACTCCTATAGGGGTGCAAGTTGGGCGGGTTGGGCTCTTTAATTTAACCACCATTAAGTTTTTCGTAGTGCTGCCAACTCCTTGGTGACCCAGTTATTTGAGCTTTAGGCAGGCTTTCCAGGAACAGTCTATGCACAATTTCATTTTCTCTATTAATCAATTGATGAGTGGGATCTGTTTAGAGCTGAAACTGGGTGCAACTTCAGCAGGCTTGGGTTGAGCTTTTGTCAAAATTTGAATAGGTCAAGCCCAAAGCAGTATAAAATGCTAATCCGGGGCCAACCCGAGTGCAACCCTAGTGAAACCATGGCTTTGCTACATAGAAGGGAATATCTCTGTACCAACCTGTCACTCACAGTACAAGCATCTCCATTATATTGAGATCAGTATGAAGTTATATAACTTTGCTTTATGTTTTGAGAGCCCTCCATAATCTTCATGACTTGGATGGGCATTTTCTTTGCTGTTCCCACTATCATTCCCTTTTACCATTTTTAGTAAAATATCAAAAGTATATTAATTTGACTGATTGCAGAAAACAACCTACTTTTAGCATCCCTTACTAGGTTTTCAAAATATGCAACCTGAACTTCATAGTCCTGCACTAGACTAATTGATATTCTGTCAAACTTAACGTGCAGTGTAACGAAATACCCTCATGCACCACCTAGATTTCAACTGTGAATAATCTTGGTATCACCCAGTTCCTTAGAAAGCCTCTTAACACATTGATCCGTCTACCTGCTGCGTCTCTGTTGATTCTACCTGCCTTGCTTCCCTTATATCAGGATTCAAAGAGTCATTGGGGTTCCCTGTCTTATTAATCAAATTTTATGTTATTGTTTAAAAGAAAAAGAATCATGCATAATGTAGGAGCAGTACTGCAATAGTGCATCCAACTACATGTTTCTTCCAAAGTACTACTTTTCTTTCTCGGTTTGGCTAACCAGCCATTTTCAAACTTATTCCGATCTAAAATTTTTCATCTAGATATCCCACATTCTTCTTTTTCTGAAAAATGTTTCATCCTTTTTTTTTTCTAGTTTGATGTTATGTTATCAAGCACATTTTGTTCTTTATTTTCCTTTTAATCTGGTAAGATTAACAATATGTGGTTCAATTTGACAATTCTTCTAGAGCTATTCTGCAAATCATGTGTGGCCAGTGCCTTTGTCTCATTACTTGGTGTAATGGTAAAATTTTGGGCTGTCAAGCATGAGAACATGGGTTCGGTCTGAGAGCAGCCCCTTTGTGTGAAAAATGCCAAAGGTTAGGACTGTACCCAGTCCACCCTCCCAAGCACCCAGATAGCCAGGATCAGACATTGGGTAATGGCCCAAGTGCCTATGTCTGGCTCTTAGGTATAACTACATAACCAGGTCGAACACCTTTTCCTTCTGCTTTGTTTTTTCCTAATATGCAGTAGAGCTTATATTTTTGGCGAGCTGTTGACTTGGTGTGCCATGCTCATTCTTTTCTTGTGTTTCTTGGTTATTTTTTTCTTTTGGTTTTAGCACTTGGAATGACTCAACCTTTTTCTGTAGATAACAATGTCAGCAGTTAGAGAATGGGCTGCATCTCAGAATAGTAAAGTTCTTGAGGTTCTATTTCCCACATAACTTTCCACCACCTGTTTCGTATCTTATTTTAAAATCATCAGATGTATATCCTTACTCTGAAAGTCTGAATTGTGATGAATGTTCCTGTCATCAGGCTGTTGCTGTAAATAATCTAGGGAAGTGGAAAACAGCCACACAAATGACTGCATTAACCATCCTTCTGGTTACACGAGACAGCAGGTTTGTGATTTCAGTGACTGAACATATTGATAGTACTACGTTAAATTCTAATCTGAAGAGGAAAATAATTAAATTTTATTCCCTAAAGGATTTTTAATCTGTCTCCGCTTTTTTTTTTTTTTTTGTGAATGTTCAGTCTATCAGGGCTAGGTACTTTAGTTGCATCTGGTGTTGTTTTGCTTTACATCTCAGCTGGTCTTGCCGTCTGGTCATTGGCTGTGTACATGAGGAAAATATGGAGAATATTGCTGAAGTAGTTGGTTTCTCTTGCTTCACCTGAGTTTGGAAGAAGGGGGTATTCGGGGTTGATGATGCTAGACTTTTGGGATTTGGGTTCTTATTTGGTTTCTTTAAATGCCCCCATCTAGTGATTGATACCTCCCAACTATGGAAATTGAACTTTTTGAGATAAGTAGATGAAGGGAAGATGCTTACGTTATGATTTTGGATTGGCTTCAGTTGAAGTTTTCTTGGAGGAAGGAAGTAGGTCTTATTATCATTCATTATATTACTTTGTCGGTAAAAGATGGTTAGGGCTGATGGAAAGATGCAGTATATAGTCTTGAAGCCTTAGGTTCAATTGTCTTAACAGGGACAAGCTGGGAAATACATCACTTAATTTGTGTAAGTAATTTTAGATGCCTACAGCATAACTCATTTGCAGGTCTCTTCATTAACTCTATGGTGTTTCAGGTTTAATACTGATTTTCTTGGTAAGAAAGTGTTTTTAAGTCTTTTACGCAATAGGGATTTGAAAGGAATGTAACCTTGCGCTGCTTCTGTCAAACTCCAACTGGAGAAATGCTTTTGGTACCGGCAAGTTTTTGTTTTTTCTTCAATTAATTTGATAGTGGCAAATTAGGTTATGTAGGAATCATTTATAGGAACTCTGTTAGTGAGAATTTAAACATAAAAACAACAAATGAATGGACAGGTTTTTAGACGATCTCTTAAGAGATCCTTTTTAATAATTTTTAGTCAGTGTCTTCCAAGATCTAATGCAATTGCAAAGTTACAACTTACAAATTATTGTAGTTGATCTCTCTCTCTCTCTCTCTCTCTCGGAAAGATTTGTGGGGTCGTGGACTCGTGGAGGGGCATCAAGCTACAGTAGAACTTCAGAAAACCGAATATTTTCATCTTTTATCTGATTTTAGTGCTTTATGTGGTTGCTAATAAGTGCCTGTTTGGGAGGGCCGCGAAGTGTAGTAGGTTTTGGCTTTCCGAGGTGGGCCTATATATTGGACAATCTATGAGTTATGTTTGGTGAGGAACCCCCAAAGCCCAAATCAATTGTCTGCCAATCATTTTAATGGCTATTTACTTCACCCTCTTTGAATAGCTTATCCTGAGTGCTTCAAAGCTGCTACACAGCTTAGCTGAATCTTCAGCTCAGCCCTCCCTAACGAGCCCTAAAATGAAAAAAGAGAAAGAAGCTGATCTTATTGATCTCTTCCATTTTCTCATTTTTTGATAGGTTAAGATTTAAGAAAGTGGCCGTCGGGTTGAACTCGGATCCTAAGGCATCAGTGGGACCGTGGGGCACCGATTTATTATCCTTCCACCAACGGCAACGAGAGTGGTTGAGGGAGGCTCTCGCTGTCGGCTGTCGCTGCTCTGTGAAACCAGCCTGATGCAGTGCCCTCCACTGTAATGACCCGCTTGGGTCATGTGGTCCAACTCCCTACATGGAATGGGCGAACCAGATCAAGCCTTGATAGAGCCTACCCATTGGGCTCAAGCCAATGTTAGGCCACTCTAATGACCCGCTTGGGTTACAAGCTCATTCTACTGAGGTCGTCATCTCTTTCATTCTCTGTTCTAATTTTTCTTCCTTTATTTTGAATATTCTTTATCCTCACTCTTGCTCTCTCTAGTCAATTAGTGCCGCAAATTATATCTGCTTGTCTAAATTGGATCCAAATGTACCCACCCTTATACCGTTTGAATGTAATCAACATAAAATTGAGAAAAGTTGTTTGAATTTTGTATGCTTATTGAAGAGTCATTAGTTTCAATTTCATAGGCGCTATTTTCGATTCATTTTGTTCATGATAAACAATAAAGTCATTTTTCTAGTTTATTTTATTGATAACTAGTTAATTGGCGGAGATGAGTAGAGTGGCATAGAGGTAAATGTACTTAAACTATTGGTGTGGTGGTCATATTGACGTGCGATGTCGGGGGCAAGTATCACATTATATAGTAAGATATATACTATTTTCATCTTCTTTTATTCCATTTATTAAGGGTATTCAAAGATCTAAATCTGATGGTTAATATTCTATTTGAATTCAAATATGAATGAATCAAATGTGGAGAGCTTTATATCCAATTAAAATAATTCAGTGCCACTGCCAGGAAAGGAATAAATTAGAAGCAAGGTTCAAAATATCCATGTATTGGGATGTATTGAGGGGTTTGAACAGCATGACCCCTTCTTTCTTTAGTTTTTTCCCCAAAAATTTACAGGGGGCTGATCTTAGCGATGACTGCCCCCTGAAAATATTAAAATAACCTTAAGATTTCACATATCATAGTGGGTCCGATGTGATATGCTTGACTGATCGTGATACGTGGCAAAATTTTGAACCTTGACTAGAAGAGCATTGGATAATTAAAATAAAAATCATATTAAGGGGGTGTTAATGAAAAATCAAAATTAAGTCATTCATTTGCAGTGAACAGTAAATTGAGGGAAGAATCTACTTGGGAGTCCCAAATTTTGGTGACGTTCCAATGCTCATTGCACCCTCAGGCCATCTTTGGTTTTGGTTTGATAGAAATAAGAGAGAAATAGAAAGTTGAGAGGAAGTTCTTAAGAAAAATTGTGAAGTGCTCATTCCCTCATATTTCTGTTTCTCCCTTGTCAAGCCAAAGATAGAATTGGGAGAGCCAAAGCATACATGATTGAAGCAGAAACGAACAAAGGGAGAACTCCATCGCAGGGTTATTTGATTTGTAGAATGGCCGTTGTTGTGGACTTCTTTGGGCTAATAATCTTTTAAGAGTTTTACGACATTCTGTTGGAATGTTTTAACTGTCAGAAGTCATTAATTACTACAGTGCAGCCTCGTGAAGCTGCAGTCTCCTGCTGCTTAAAATGATCTAAACCGTTCCATATGATCAATTTTTATAATTCTTCATTTTTTTCCCCTCTAGCTAGTGTAATGATTTCTTGGCTTTTCTTTAAATTTATTTTGGGAAAAAGCAGCGATTGGAAATTTGGAATCCTTTATTAAGTAAACTTTTCCTTTTTGCTAATCAAATCGCTTCGGGTTAAAGCGATCGACGGTGGAATTCCCGACCCCTGTTTGGATGCCCAAAAGATATCATGTCTCCCTTTAAAATGACAGTTATGCCCCTAAAACCAGAGCCACGTTATTCTAAGGTCCAAACAACTTCTTATTTCTTTTCCTTTTTTTTTTTATAACCTTTTTAATATACCTTGCTTTAGGGAGGAGGCATGGGACCAAGGGAGAGTGCCCTACATGAGATCACATTGGCACCCCCACAGAGGGCGCTCCACATGCATATCTCACTGTGCACTGAAAACATTTTTCTACTTATCATGTGGAATTGTTCCCAATATACGGGTGGGAGGTGCTGTAGGGCGCCGATGTGATCTCACCTTACATCCATCCAACTCCAACCTGAAATTGCTGAATCTGAGATAAAATGTATTATACACGAGATTAAGACCTAAGAGGAGGATTGTGAACCGGGGATAGGTTTAGCTGAACGTAACAGCTGCTAAAAAGGCTATGAAACAAGAAAGATCTCTTTGTGCACCACATAAAAACTCCCCTGTGATGAACTATATAATCATTGGATTTATATCAATGAACCAAAAAGAATAACTTTTTGAATCCATCATCCTGGGTCCTATGTATTTTATTACTGACGCGGAGTATTATTAATGGTTCTGCACCTGTTAAACAGCTAAAGCATTCAGTGAAGTGAATACAGATTATGTCAATGGAGTGTGAGGTGGAGTCGTCTGAATTAGATGCACTTGAAGGTAGAGTTAAAAGGAGATCACATCTCCACCCCATAAAGGGCTGCCCCACAGCACATTCCCGCCATGTATTGGGAACATCTCCCGATGATGGCATCATTAGAACTGGTATTATCATTGGAAGATGTTCCCAATACATAGTGGGGGTGTGCTGTGGGGCGGCCCCTTGGGCAGAGATGTGAACTCGAGTTAAAGAGCTGTTTAACCAATGATAATATTCCACATCAGCTATCAAATATATATAACCTACAGCCATTGGGTAGTGATCTGTTATCAATAAAATGCTCTCAACATTGTCCCAACAAGCAAGCCACTGCATTACATTATAAACATCCCCCTTATCATTCATGGAGAGATCACATTGGCACCCCAGTCCCCATAGAAGGGTGCCCCATAACACAACCCACCCAACCATGTATTGAAAATATCTCCCAATGACAAATATGCTGAGATGTTTATGTGGGTGTAATCTATGGGGTACAGATGTGAACTCCATGGAGATATATTGGTGATGTACATTGAAAAAGTGTGGTGAGTATTTGTTGGAAGCAGATCTGAACTCACAAACACTCTCTCACATCACATGGATGGCTGACATGAGACGGGATCTGCTCCTCATGAATGGGCGCCTCACATGTACATCCACCATGCATTGAGAACATCTTGAGATATTCCCAATGCATGATAGGATGTACATATGAGGCACCAGGTGTGAAGAGCAGATCCGGTCTCGGCTGATGTGGGGCATTATTATTGGTTAACCCTCCCCAACACAGCCATCTATCTAGTCAGGACTCGAGATCCAAGAGACCTGATTAAGCGCAGTGGAGTTGTAGTTGAGGTGTATTATTAGTGGGGGCCGGGGGGGTGTGAAAGGTAGATTTCCACCCGAGTTTTTTCGCGCCATCTCGCTGTCTCTTCCACTCCTCGCTAGACACTCCACGCTACAATACAAAACCCAACTAGAAGCAGAGAGAAAGGAAGATAACGAACGAGAACTGAAAAACATTTATGATAACAAAAAGCAACAAATGGACGAAGGAATGCCAAACGTGGTCGCATTTAGACGGGTGCTTGCGGACAAAACCAAACCACCTCTCCTCCACTCCTCTTATCTATCACTAGCTGTCCTTGATTCTTCACCCAATACCAGATTTGGCCCTCACGATTGCTTTCACCGATTTATCCCTGTCAATCGGGTTATTTCCGACTATTAAATTTGATCATGTATAGTGACCACGTGTGGATATTTTTGGTATTTAATTTGTTTTCTAGTCTACTAAAGAAAGAATCGAGTTGTTTGTCAGGGCTGCTGTACATTTGAGCAGTATGGATCGGAAGAAAATCACAGGAGAAAGAAGCAGCGTGGTCAGAACAGAACAGGCACATTGCAGTTTGGTAATTATCTAATGACTAATGGGTATGGCAATGCAGTTTAGAGAGAGAGGTAAACAAGTGGGATAAAAGGCTGAAAGCAAAAGACATAGGGACAGGATATGACCGATGGAATTGACATAAGGCAGTGAGTGCTGAGCAAAGGTATAGAAGAGTACAGTATTAGGCTATTAGCTTTGTGAATTGTGAGAATGGGACAAGCTTCCAAAACAAAGCCAATGGCAGTTATATATAATTCATGTGACACAATTGCCCATCACCATTGATTATAAAAGCAAAGCAACTTGTAGAGAGCAATGCTTTCCATACAATGATACTCTTGTCTTTTACACCATATCTACAACCATGGATTGCTCACACTATTAGCTTTTAACTTACAGACAAGATGGAAACAAACAAACAAACAGACTGGGTTGGTAGGGGAAGAAGAGGTGATTAGTTGGTTGCGAGTTGCGAGAAATGAGCCAAAACCCACCATATCTCTTCGAATCAAGGCACATGAATTATATGCCCATAATAAAAAGGGCCCTCCAGAGTCCAAACGATATCTTTCACTTCAGCCTTAAAATTGCAGCTCATTCGGTACTTGTGAGTCTGATCCATCACCCCCATCCCAATATGATCCATTTATTTAACCGAAGCAGCTTTGGCCCTTTGAGATGTGTGGCTGCTGAAGCCGGAGAGAAAGAGGCCGGCGGTGGCGGGTTTAGACTCGAACAAAACAATTCACTGAATCGACTCTACTAGCACTAGCTGCCCAATTTCCTAGCTCAGTATCGGTAAGCTCGCAACCAATTATTCGATTCAATTAGAAGGGGCATATTTGACATTTCGGACGGACGAACGAGAACGACAAAGCGCGAGCTCAGGGTCAGGGAGGGACATGAGATGAGGAGGACGATAATTGAAGAGAAGTAGCAAATAGCAATTACCAGCCAACCATGGCCATACCATCAGACGGCACGGGATACAATAGTCATTACGATGAGATTTCCATGTCTAAATCGGTCAAGGGATTCTTTTTAAGGCCACACGTTCCACAAACTCACTCACCCCCACGCCAACACCATCGTCGTTCCCCGATATCACCATGGACGAGCTTCAGCTGCAGCACGACTCCAGTGAAACGATCATGGCTGCACTCTTCACCCTAACCCCTTGCCAATTCTCTGACCTGAGACATTCCTTGTCGTCGGATCTCCGTCGTCAGCACCACCGCCTCTGCTCCCTCCTTCGCTCCACCACCCGTTTCTCCCAAACTCTTCGACACCTGGAGGCCCTCTCCCTCCACCAAAAGACCCTCCTAATCGCGCGCTATTTCCTAACCACGCTGAAACAACTCACCCGTTTCTGGGAAGCCGAAACGCCCAATACCTCCGTCGCCGTTCGACTCCGGGACCTTGACGCCACGTTGCTTCTCATGCTCCTGTGTGAAGTCCACCAACACGACAAGCAGGCCTTAGAGAGACCTCCGGCCGAGTGGCGCCACATCCTCAACGAGTACGTGGTCAGTAACATGTTGGCAATGGCCGGCGTGGGAGTTCCAAGTGGTGCAATAGTTTTGAGTCCGTTTATTGACGTGGCGACGAGATGCAGGAGGTTTCTTGATGCAGCAGGCTGTGGAGGAGGTGGTGGAAAGGTGGAGAGGGAGGTGGCAACGTCGGCGGCGGCGGTGGTGGCGTTGCCGTCGGTGGAGTTATGTGGGACGGGGACAGAGTGTGCGATATGTAAAGAGGCGATGGGGGGAGGGAGAGACGTGTGCGAGCTGCCTTGTGGTCACATGTTTCACTGGATGTGTATACTGCCATGGCTTGCGAAGAGGAATACTTGCCCCTGCTGTAGACTCCGGCTTCCGACCGACGATGTGTTGGGAGAGATCGAGAGACTCTGGGGTGTTCTTCTCAGAATAGGTCGTAGCCCAAGGAATTCTTGTGGCGATTGATTTTATTATCTGAAATGAAAGAAATGAAATTGGTCATCAATACAATTATCAATCGAACAAAACTGACACTGGTTAAGGAGTAAATCAGATGTATATAATACAGTATAGTTCTGGGATTTTCTCTTTATTTTCCCCTAAATCTGGAAATTAATCAGTAGGATCGAGTGGAATGTTTTGTGATTGTAAGTAGTTGTATTGTACGTGTGGATTCAGAAGATAAATCTTGTAACTCTGTAATTCACCCCATAAATAATCCCTATGACCGTATCAGTTGGCAATTCGTCAAAGCTCCGCCGGTTACTCGGGAAGGAATCGACATTGAATCAGTAGTGGTTAGTTAGTTACACAACACTTTCAACGTTTCCCTGCCAAAAACGTAGCTGAAACATTTCAGTCAGCCTGAATTTTTCCGTTCCGTTTCACGGAGAAACAAGTAAAGCCTCGGGGAAACCAGCTGAGCTGACCCCTTCTGAGTTCTGAGACTCAAGAGGTTGGAGTGGAACATTTCAATTTTGTGATGCGAATATGATCAATGGACGGACTCACCTTACGGATTTTAGCTAGGTTTACCTACACAATTAGTTCAAATTAAGGATGTGTTTGCGGTGCAAATCTGAATCAGGTTTCGCACCCAGTTCATTTAGGAATTCAATGATTTGGGTTCCATCCTACCTGATACAAAATTTGGATTTCTACCATTTGTCTCAGTTGTTCTTACTGAGACTGCGAATTTTGCATCACATTCCTCCTACATCAATTCTTTTTCATACGAAGTGGGAGTCGGAGTGAGAAGTGAGAACCATATCATCTTACTTCTTACCTCACTTCCAAACAAACATCCCTCCTATCTGCTTCTTTTTTCATATAAAGTAAGGCCCATATCATTTTACTTTCTCACAAACAAATAAAACGAAGTATAATCTGAAATAAAATTAAACAAAAATTTACACTCAGCCTATTTGCACTCCAACCAAATGCAGCCTTGCCGTTTTAGTTTGCAGTGGAGCAATACGTTTCATCAATTTCATTTCAGATTTTCAGTAAATTCAATCTAACACTTAGGCTGCTACTCCAGTACGCCTACCAATAGCTGTTTCACCTTTTAATCTGGACCTGGATATTTATTTTTAGGCTTTGAGCTGGGCTTGGGCAAATTCTGTTAAAATAAATTTGAAGCCTTAGATAGCATAAACCCAACCCAACCTAAAACGACTTTGTCTCATGCTTTAAAGCCGTAAACTTGAATTGTCGCAAGGGATTACTAAATATGAATTTGCCTGGCTGAAGCAGATAAACAGAAAATTTTGCATGCATCTACAAACAATTCCGATTTAAATTCAAAGCTTAACTCCTCTCCCTCCACAGATAATTCAAAAATACCAAACGAATCATGTTCTATGATGTTAAAAGCATAAAATATGTAATTAAACCAGGAAGAGACCTCTCCCCTCAAAATAAAATGTAAGAGGATCAATTCAAAATTTGAGGCTTACATAAATAAATATTTGTGCCTATAAAAATAAATAAATAAACAAATAATTAAAGGTTGACATTTGAGAAGGCTATTCAACGAAACCATTAGTGAACACAGAGGCCCTAATAACACAGGAGGACATGAGAATGGAGATCAACTTGTTAATGAAACAATAAAGATGATAATGACAAATAAAAAAAGGTGTGGGAATGTAGATTCTAGTTTGACAAATGAACAGGATTTAGACAACTTGGAAATCAAGAGCAACACATGATAAACAAATTAATAGGCACCTACCATCTAGCGAGCAAAGGTTGAGTTCTTTTGCTTTCCTTGTATGTGATTACAAAAGAATGTACATTCTAGTTTAACAGTTAAGGGCACTAAATGTTATGTAGGAGAAAAATAGATTTGTGGGCAACCCATATTTGAATCTACTTTCAGTACTAACTATTCCTGCTTGCTATTCTACAGACTACAATTGCTTCGTGGTGTTGTTTATGTGAATGAGGTCATTCTTAAGATCACCCTTAAGTGCTACTTGGCAATGTTAATATCTTATCAGTAGAAACGTTTACCAAATTAAATTCCATAATGAAAACTGAGCTTTTGTTTACAAGCTGGTTATCACTTGGTTTCAGTGGGTTCTGCTATCCTAGTATCCTCCCCACCCCCATTAATATTATAAAAGACCTATAACAAGGAAATCTTAAAACTACTCACGGATAAGAAAAACAGGACATTAGATCAAAATCCCAATGGTCCGATACATAATTAATTCCCCCAAGACTGACCAACTTTAGCCTTTCTAATAAGAAGTCATAACTAGTTCAGGATGATAGGTAAATAAAATGACTAAACCAATTTCAGGATGTAATCATCCAATATATAGAACCCATAAAATCCATCAGTGACTTACCATCTGTCTTTCCTAAAATCTAAAACAAAACTCAAACTCAAGGTTGCCCCATTGGGATGATTAAAACTCCAGACTAGAGAAAGGATGGCATTAGTTCTCTGCCTCTTTAATCATCCAATGTATGGTGGCCATAAAATCCATATCAGCGATTTACCATCTGTCCTTCCTAAAAACTAAAATAGAACTCAGGCTCCACGGGGGTGGGGAGAGAGTTTGTAGATTATAAAGCATGTTTACCTAGCAAAACTTCAAACGTTCTGTTTATGGTATGAGGATCACCCTGAAATTATGTAAATTTACAGGAAAGAACAGAATTGCAACCATTAAAGCATCAACCCAATATCCAATAGATCTAGTAAGAATCCTAAAACAAACTTGGGCTATGCACATTGTATGTTTCAAGTTTGCCTTTTGGCACAAGATAACATGACCTCGTTTATCTCTGGTATATCCTCCTTCTAATTCAATTAAGTTGTTACTGCTTACTATGAAAATTGAAAAATAAAAGTGTATTTATCACTTGTAAGTGGCACCTGCTTTTTCTTAGTCCCTTAATTCCTATTAAGATGTAGTTAACTATCAACAGAGCTGCAATAAATAAGTACAGTGAAAAGGTGAAACAATAACAGGAGATAATACACATCCAGTGAAAAGGTGAAACAAAAACAAGTGTCAATCTGGCTGGAAGTCGGAATAAACAAATAGGAAGCATGTGTGCAAATTGCAAAATTAGAAAATGTAACAAAGAAACCAGAAAAAGGGGTTCTCAAATTATCAATTAATCTGACAGGAGTATTCCAACCTAAAATTGCAACACTGGAAAGTTCAGATTTACATTATGTTTTTGTTTCAGCATATAAGGTTACAATTGAGATACCCTTGGCAGCAGAGTTCAATCCTTCAATTACATGATATTCAAAACAGTCACCCTAGAGAGCCAAGAAGCATAGCCCTATACAATTTGAGCAGGAGCTGCTGTCCCACTCCAAGCTACGAGGCCATTACCCAACGTTGGTCCCAGCTATCTGGGGTCTTGGGAGGGGTGGACTGGATACAGTCCTAACTTTTATACCCTTAACAGAATAGGCATTACTCCAAGTAATGCCAACCTGAGAATTTTACCATTACACCAAGTAATGGCCCCTGTCCAACTCCAACCTCCTCGTCCCCTTCAATTAGGCATACCCAGGGGATTAAGCTGCAGACAAGGGACCCAACTAGCCTTTCGATTACAATGTTAGACACTGCCAACCTAAAAAATTATAAAGATGAGCTTCCTTAAACGAATGGCGTTATTTTAACTAAAAACAGTCCACAACAAGATCTATTTTCAGGGACCCAGACCAATGCAGTGAATGCTTTCAAAACTAGATTCATTTAATACTAACTGCACCAACTTTTTGATTGTCAATCCATCCACAGGATGAGAGATTGCACTCAATTTAGAGAATGCCATTAAACTAAATTCAAAGATGAAGGATACACGTTATATTTAGATTTTAAACGAATCGGATATTAAAAAATTGTATGCAAGTTATATTCAAAGATGACAGTTAACCAATAAGAAGCACATTTACTTGAAAGTAAAAGTGAATAAATTGCCTCCACTCCGTAGAGCACAACCTACTATCATTACTCCCAAAAGAGAAAACATCAACATTTATACCCGTAACAGATCATCGACTTCGTGTTTCCTCTTCTTCTTTTTCAACCTGCAATGTCTCTCTACTGAATCATCCAGTCCTCCATGTTCAACCTTCACATTCTTCCTCTTCTTTTTATCCTTTCTCTTCTCCTCATCAATTTCTACGCCGTCTCTTCCTTCTCTATCTTCCAGTTTTCAGTTCTCTGTAGAACCGAACCAGCTCGTTGAAGGAAGCGCAAGCGCGTCTCAGGTAGGCAGAAACGGTTTGCGACTCTCCGGTATCAACTGAAGTAAAACTGGATAGAACTGAAGCTGCTTTCGAGGGGGACATCGGCTTGTAAGAGACTAGCGACCCTGAAACTGCCTTCATTGGCGCTTAGATCAAAGACAGACAGGGGATGAGATGAACGAAGAGATACTTGGCTCACTCTAGGGATCTTCAAATTAACCATTTCTAAAGAGGACCAATTTCTAGGTTCTCCTTGGGCCAAGGATTACGCAGATCCCCCCCCCCTCTCTCTCTCTCTCTCTCTCTCTCTGTAGGGCGTCTGCAAGATTGCAACTCTACCTTCCTCTGTCTTTTGGTTTCTGCACTTCTCTGTCCGTTGGTGTTAAACTGTTTATGAACTTTTTAGGGTTTCCGCGACACGAGCCACCACGGTTCCCTCGGACACTCCGAAAGAAATGAAAAAGGGCGGGAGCAAAGGGTTGATTGTTAAATATCTTTATATGACCTAACTCGACTCGGCCCGGTTCGGCCAGCAAAAATTCGGGAGGTTTTGTGTCCAGTCCAGGTCCATATCAGGCCCGAAAATTGGCGGGCCGTTTAAACCGATCTAAACCCGAGTGAGCCTGACCCTGATTCGATTCTATAGTTTTGGTCAAGCCAGATTTGCCATTTAACCCGATCCATTAATATCCATACTCCAACGAAAGCCTAACTCCAAGATTTTGCACATGTGTAATCGGACCTCGGATAGCCTTTCATGAGAAAATCTCAAGATAGCTTGGATTTGGGGTAGCGGTTCGGAGGACATCAAGAGGCTTGCAGCTGGGTTTGAAGGTTTGATTCGGTTCATTATTCTTTCG